CGTCAAACTACCCGGGTTCCCATTATCAATAAACCCCTTCTTCCAATTCCCAAACGCGATACAGTTCCGCACTACGTGATCCGCCACGGGGTTCCCCGTAATCCCCAATTTGAATCCGTTCCCATCCCCTTCAAACGGGCTGAACCCCCACCGGTTATACCCGTTGCCCCAAGCATACACCTCCTCCAGCACCACGGCGGACCCGAACATGAAGAGGTCGAGCCCGTCGTCGACGTTATCCCACAGCCTCGCATTGCGCAGGACGTTGCCCTCGCCGGACCCGGACTTGCACGCGAAGCCGTCTGCGCTCTCGCCGTTCTTGCGCGGGTCGCGGTTGCGGTAGGAGTCGAGGTTCGCGACTGTGTTGTTGGACGAGGCGCCCTCGAGCTGGAAGCCCGTTTCGTAGTTGTCGTGGGTGGAGATGTTCGTGTAGGTGTTGTGGGAGGCGTCGCGGGCGTAGATCCCGTAGGGCCCGTTGATGAGTCTTGGTTCAGGTCAGTTGCGTTGATTGGTGATTGGGAGAGAGAAGTGACGTGAAGGGGTTTTGACTTACTCCAAATCGTAGAATGCCCAGTAATTCGCATTTTGGATGTGAAAGATCCCGCGCTCAGAATTGGGCAAGGCCTCATCCAACGCCTTTGGAGTTCTGGTGAAAGTCGGAATACCCCCTGTCAGCCCACATTCTCTGCCCCACAAGCACAGTCTCACTACTGCTGCATATTACACAAGCAGCTGGAGACGAAAGACTTACCCAGGCATATTCTCCCCATCGACGATAACCTTCTCCCCCGGATACGCCCTCGCAGTAATCGGCTGCGTCCGCGTCCCGCTCTTTGCAATCTGAATATTCGCCGTCGGCGCATACGTGCCCCCGCGGAGAAAAATCGTGTCGCCCGCGACGGCGGCGCCGACGGCCGATTGGATGGAGCCGTACGGCGCATCGAGGGTTCCCGTGCCTGTGCCTGCGGGGGAGACGAAAATGTCGCGGGCGGTCGTGTGGTACGCGCCACTTAGGAGGAGCGCGAGTAGCGCCAGCGGCGGCGGGCTGGATTTGGAGGGGATCATGACTTTGCCAGCTGGAGGAGGTCCGATGACACGACCTTTTGGAGAGGAAAGCAAGCAAGTGAACCCTTTTTTTTTTGTCTTTTTCAACATTGGGTGAGAGTTTCCCGTGCATCCAATACCTTTTTATGAACTTGTGTTCTGCCAAGAAAAGAAGACATAGATGACAATACAGCTTGCCCATGAAAAGCCGATTCGCCCATATCTCTGAGTGACAATTTCTTTCATAAAGTTGCGTGACGTGCAGGTACCAATATCCGTACTTCGTCTCCAAAATGTAACCATGTCGTTCCAAGAAATCCAACAAGAAAGACAGAAATTCCCCCCAATCACGGGCCCCTGTCTCCACCGAATCGGGAAAGAAGTACCATTTCTCCCGTGTCCGTACCCCCCACCTGGACCACCTCCCCGGAAGAAAACGATCCCGCAAATAAAACAAAGTCGACGGGATCTCATCTGTCGTTTATGTTTCGAATCAGAGTCTTTTCGATTTCGATTGACCGTGTACATCAATGGGCACGGAATTATTTGCATCCGTTCGTCCTTGAACCGGGCAGCCCTGAGATTTCAACTCTCACCCCCACACCTCTTCTCTTATTAACAACAGCAAGACCTTCAGGTAGAAGCCCACGTATCCCAATTCTCCGCGCTAAAATCAGGCCAATACAACGCCTGCAAGTCATCATAGAACGACGCCTCCAAAAACTGCAGATCCAACACCGGTTGCGCAAGGAGCTCCTCCAACGACGGCTCCGTCAGCGCCATTCCCGCCGTCGTGGGCCCCGTCCCCGACCGCACTGGAAGTCCACTTGCACCACTGGGACCGAATTGCGACGACATGAGCGGGCCGGATTCAGGTTCAGGTCCGGGTCCGTGCGACGGCGGCAGTACCTCGCCATAGGAAGATGTAGAGGAAACCTGCGTCTGCGTCTGCTGCTGCTCAGCGTCCACCCTCCCCATACGCTTCGCATAAAACCTATCAAGCTCAGCCCTCATCACGTCGACGTGGTGACAGTACTCCATTGCAGCGAAATTCCCCGAGTCGCGCAGCTGCGAGAGGAACCTGACCGATTCCTCAAAGGCCTCCTTGTCGTCATTGGGCGTTGTCCCCGCCCCTGACGTACTGTCCTGGAGAAGACTCGACGCGGCGAGGATCGTCAGCGCAGAGAAAAGGTACTGCGTGTAAAAATAGTCAAACGTCGCAAAAGACCCGTCGATCCACGATTCAGTCAGCAAGCGAATCGAGTGGCGCGCGCAGCGGATACAGGCTTCCGATAGCGTGATTGCGCTCGCGGGGACTTGCTGAGTCTCTGTGGTCGTGGTTGCGGATGGCCATGAGGCGACTTTGGTTCGTAGGATGTGGAGGAGAATTGGGCGTGTTGCTAGGATTGCGCACTTGAAGGAGCATGCGTTAGTAAAGGATTGTCTCTTCAGGTGAGCGTCTGTGCGAGATTCTAATACCTGGTTAAAAGACAAATGCAGCGAAATAGGCTTCGGCCCAGTTCCCGCATTATCGAGCTGCAAATGGACAGGCAAATCCTCCACCCAGGCCCGCAGATCCTTGAGCGCCTGCTGGACCCTCGTCGACAGTGTCGTCGCCTCGCCCTGGCTGCGCTGACCGTAGATGGAGCGGACCGTCTTGGTGATGAGGGCCGCAAGCCGCAGGCTCGCCACGTGGTATGCGGTATCCTCAAAGTCGGTCGCGTGAGTCCGCACCACTGCCACCCCATCATTTTCCGCATCAGAGGGCAGATCGACGCCGACGTCGCTGTCTTGGATGGCGGTCGGGTGGCCGAGCTTGGAGGCCCAGATGCGGTCAAAGATGTACGTCGTCCAAAAGAGGCGCTTGCGGTGCTCGCGTAGATCAGGGTCGCGTAGCTGGGACTCGGGGATGTTGAGGTGCAGGCCCATAACGATGGCCATGCGCATCGCGGTGCCGGACATGACGAAGGCGCTGTAGCGGCGGTTGAGGGCCAACGAGTAGAAGGAAAGAAGCAGCATGATCTCGATCGAATCCGTGCCCGGCCGCTCGTCGAGCACACCCAGTACGCGCGAGGCCTTGGCAAAGTAGGGCATCCCGGGGAAGTCCTTCTCCGAGGGGATGGACCTTGTGGAGTAGAGCTCGCCGATGGCGAAGAGAGCCCACAGCTTGGAGCGGAGCATGAGGTCGCCCCAGGAGGGGTTGTGAATGCTCTGCTCGAGGTCGCGCATGACGGCGCTGCGGCGGACGACGTGGTACCGCCGGGCGACGTACTTGAGGGCGACCTCGACGAGGAAGCGGGAGCGCGAGGGCGTGGGCCAGGCGACGTCGGAGGACTTGACGAGAGCCATGAGCTCGGCGTCGGGAGCGTAGTTCACGCGCAGCATGTGGCGAGGTTGCGGCGCGTAGGGGTCCGAGATGACCTGGCGGAAGCGGGTGGAGAAGGCGGCGTCAGCGACCTCGCCGATGAGGATCGGGGTGCGGAAGACGTTGGCGTTGATGAACCACGGTCGAACTTCGAGGGTTGCCGTTGTTGGAGCTGCGGTTCCGGCTGCCGCTACTGCATCTTCCGCCGCCGCTGCCACTGTCGAGAGATCTTCATTGTCGCCTAGGTTTGCAGACGTTGGCGTTGACAAGACCTCCCTGTGGCCAGTGTAACTGGTGTTTTGAGATGGTGTTGCTGTCGACGTCGTCGTTGATATCACGTCATCTAGCGGCGCACATGTGGAGGTCGAAGCGCTCTGAGAGGCAACCTGGCTCTTGAGACGGCGAATCTCATCCAGAAGACCGTCAATGTAGCTGTAATTGTACAACAAATTCTTGGCATGAGCTCATCATTATCCCGTAGTTCATAGTAGAGAAGAAGAAGAAGAAGAAAGGAAAGAAAAGGAAAGCAAGAAACCGTGTGTTGTGTGTAGTTGCATGGCTCTCGTTCAGAAGTCAAATGTAAAGTACCTTTGTCTGACCTTGACCTGTCTATTGCGGCGCGGATAAGTGCACTCGGCACCCTTCCCGGCATGCCGACAATTCTGACAGGGCTGGTCGCCGGAGCACTTTACTTTTCGCGAATGGCATCGGCGGCACGCGGTTGATTTGATGGGCGGGAGAGGCCCGTCATCAAAGGGGCTTCTGCGAGCCTCCGTCGTGCTGCTGCTGGATGGGTGGCTGTTGCGAGCCGCCATGGTGGGAATGGCATGTCTCGAGGTGCGGGTTTGAGTACCTGACAGTGGGTAGAAGAGGTGATGAAACAAGAGTAAAGTAAAGGTTGAAGACACAGAAAGACAAGAAAGAAAGTGACGAGGTCAAGTCCGATGCATCCCTTCGAAAGCGTTGTCCATGGTCAATTTCCCACCAACATACGAATTACGCGTGCCTACCTACTTACCTTCCCTTACTGTCAGGGACACTGCGAGTATGTGTCAGAGGGCTCTCTCGTCACACCGATGACGGCGAAATGTCGGGATGCCGAGGTGACCCAGGCTTGCCAGCTTTGTTGCTTTGTCAGATTTCACAACGCACCGGCAGCTGGCAGCGGCCCGAGCTTTCGTCTCTCTCCGGTCTCGTCGGCAAAGCGACATTTCGCCGACAGATGAGTCATCCTGTAAATTAGGTAATCACCAATAACTTTTTGTTCGTCTTGTTGCTTCTTCAAGGATGAAGGAGGGACTTTATCTTTTGGGGTGTTTGGATGATTGTAGTATGATATTATGAATAAGAAGTTTGAAGGGAGTTACTTGAAATAAGTAGCCTACCACTCGGATAGTAAATCTCTAACATAAGTGTAATTCGAGAGCAATGACAAATTGTGTTGCTTGAGGCTAGCTTGAGCCTAGTAAAGGAGAGTTTGAAGTGTTACAGTGTCTATCAGCGTTCCAAGAGTACCAGAATGACAAATGAAAAAAGAAAGCAAGAGGTGAAACCGAAATGACCACAATGCATTCGGAGCCCGTTTGGATAACTAGGCAAAGGATACGACAACTCTACCGGGGGCAGTTGAAGCGGCGAGGCCTTGGAACGAGTCCGAAACCGAGGCGTCCACGAAGCTGGAACCACCGCCACCGCCGGCCGGCATACGCTGGACTGTTGAGCCCACCGAATAGTAGCCAGTGGCTCCGCTACCTCCACCACGGTAACCACCGCCGCCGCCGCCAGAGCCATCGTTGAAGCTGCCGCCCGCGCCGGCAATACCGTTTCCGCCAACGGATCCGCTTCCCGCATTTCCGTTTGCCGACGTTCCCAAGCCTGTCCACCTACCACCGGCTCCGGCGAGAATCTGAGTGCCCGGAGCTCCTCCATTGGATGTGGACGTGACGGTACCGCTCGGCAGCGTGATATTGTAGGAAGAACCCTTGTCACCGGCGTTACCTGTTCCGCCAATGTAGTTGTAGTTTAGTTCAAAAGCTCCTTGGCCGTTGTTGGATACCACGATGGACCCGCCGCCGCCTCCGCCAGCGACCGCAAGAAGGTTCTGGCCGAGGTAGAGAGCGGAAGCGCCGCCACCTCCACCGCCATTGTTGGAGGCAGATCCACCGTTGCCGTACTGACTCTGGCCAGCAGCACCAACGGCATTGACTCTCGTACCAGCGCCGCCAGCGAGCAGCAAAACAGTTTCGCCTGGGGTAACAGCGATGGAGCCGTTGATCGATGCACCAGCACCGCCGCCGCCACCGCCGCCACCGAGGACGGTGAATCGCATGACAGTGGCGCAGGCAGGAACAACTACTTGGGCTGTGGCACCCGCTGGGGCGGCGGCCGAGGCCGTGCTCGTCAAGGAGACCACGCAAGAAGTCGAGGACGAAGTCGTCGAGCTGGACGTGGTGGAGGTGTCAGTTGTAGTCGGGGCAGCAGTGGTGGACGAAGTCAAAGTATCAGTCGATGTAGCGGTAGGACTGGTGGTAGAAGTCGACGAAGTCGGAGACGTCGTCACAGTCGGAGTGGTAGTCGAAGTACCAGGAGGCGTGATGTCGAATGGTGCGGGCGCGTTACCGCAGCCGCCAGGCACGAAGATGTCATTCGTCGCCGGTACGGTTTGCGACGCAACAACGGCGCCACTTGGATTTGTAACGGTCAAAGAGTGCTGGTAGCAGCCCTGGGCGTTTACATAGAGGAACCTGATGGGGTAATATTGACCCGCCACGGCTGTGAACGTGAATGTGGGGACGGTTGCGGGCTGTTGGGTGTACCGAGTGAGGTCGGCGTTGGCGTTTGTAAAACCGGTCACCGCCTTGTCACCAATCCAGACGTATCCACCTTCATCTGCCGTACCAAAGGCAAAAGTATACGTGCCGGATACGTTGGGATGGAAGTAGCCCGTCTGCTGGATGTACCAGTATCTCGAGCCGCCGTTGACCGTTGTGCCGTAAACGACCGGTGTTGGATCTGTAGTCTCGGCGCAGTTGCCGCCAAATGTGGTACCAACGAGATTCGTCACCCCGGTGGTCTGAGGGCTCTGTCCTGAAAGAACGGTACGCACGTTGTTGTATGTGTCCGCCCAGGCGTCGCCCGAAGCCACGACGTGGAAGGGAATCTGTCCTGGGTAGCTGGTGGTGTTGCTAGGCGACTGGTTGAAGTCGTAGTACGCCCAGTTCAGTCCGGAAGTACAAGTCGGGGTGGCTGAAGTGGAACTGCTCGTCGAAGATGAAGTCGTGCTGGTCATGGTAGAACTTGTGGAAGTGGTGAGAATGGATGGATCTGCTGCATATACGCAGCGAGCTCCATCGTTGACTCCCGAAACAGGACCATCGGAGACCAAGGTTGGCTGACCAGAGTTGACGTTGAAATTATAAATATTTCCGCTGTTGTTTTCGGAGCCGTAGAACGTGTTGCCGCTCGAGGCATAAAGCGCTCCAAACACTTCGTTGCCATTGATCCGCGTGTATGTCCGTACAATTGACCAGTCATGAGTAGTCCGACTCCATCTCGCTAATGAGAATCGACCGTTGGCGTCGACTCCCGTGATACTGTAGAGGTAATCGCCACCTCCGGGTACATAAACCCAGTCGGATACGCCATTGGCGATAGTACTAGTACCTGTGGCGATGATCTGCGTGAAGGTCGCCGAGTTGGGGTTCATATCGATTTGTGCCCAGGCTCCACCGCTAACGCTGATGTAGTACCGTCCGAGTGTGTCGATCTCTCCAACGTTGTAGTATCCAGTTGGAAGATCTGGGCCAATGAGAACCCCTTGGCCGTTCCTTGCGATGCGGATTATACGGTTCACATTGTTCACAGTAGTAATGCCATAAATGTAGTTATCCAAGGGGTTATAGCCAATCGCATTGATTTGACCACCAGGTCCAACATTGGTAGAAACCGTGGTCTGAACCCCAGTAGTGAGGTTTAGTCGGTAGAGTGTGGTGCTCTGGATCAGATAGCCACCAGCGTCGCAGCTGTAGGTCGGGCCAGGGGCGATTGTGGTTGAGGTCGAGCTGCTGCTAGTGCTGCTAGGGGTCACAAAAGTAATGACGCTTGTTGTGCCAGCAGGATCCGTGGGGATGATGGTAGTGAGGCCAGTCTGTGTGCCTGTAGATACAACCGTCGTAAGTCCTCCAGTGATCGGAGGGACGAAGGTGATGACACTAGTGGTTCCGGCGGGATCCGTGGGGATAATAGTAGTTACACCCGTCTGGGTACCGGTCGACGTAAGAGTTATCAAGCCACCCGTAATAGGGGGGACGAAAGTGATAACACTGGTGGTTCCGGCGGGATCCGTAGGGATAATTGTAGTAACTCCTGTTTGAGTGCCGGTCGATGTGAGAGTGGTCAAACCACCCGTGATAGGGGGAACGAAAGTGATAACACTGGTAGTTCCAGCAGGGTCCGTTGGAATGATTGTAGTTGCACCCGTCTGGGTGCCGGTTGACGTGAGAGTTGTCAAGCCACCTGTGATCGGAGGAACGAAGGTAATAACACTGGTGGTTCCAGCAGGATCTGTTGGAATTATAGTAGTGACTCCTGTTTGAGTGCCTGTCGATGTGAGTGTGGTCAAACCACCGGTGATAGGAACGAAAGTGATGACGCTGGTGGTTCCAGCAGGGTCCGTTGGAACGATTGTAGTTACTCCTGTTCGGGTACCAGTCGACGTAAGAGTTATCAAGCCACCCGTGATCGGAGGAACGAAAGTGATGACACTGGTAGTTCCGGCGGGATCCGATGGAATGATGGTGGTAGCTCCCGTCTGTGTGCCTGTGGAAGTGATGGTTGTGAGCCCGCCCGTGATCGGGACGAAGGTGATGACGCTGGTGGTGCCAGCGGGATCGGATGGAATGATGGTGGTCGCTCCAGTGCGTGTAGCCGAGGACGTTACTGTTGTGATGAAGCCTGTAGGAGGCTGAACGAAAGTGATGACACTAGTGGTACCGGCAGGGTCTGTAGGAATCACAGTTGTTACTCCAGTCTGGGTGGCTGTCGAAGTGAGCGTGGTGATGAAGCCTAGACGCTGGACAAAGGTGATGACTGTTGTAGGGCCGCCGCTGGGACCCGGAGTAAGGGTTGTCAGGCCAGTAGTGCTTGCAGTAGAAGTGACTGTAACTGGTACGGGCGTAGTGACAAAGGTGACTACCGTAGGAGGGCCGCCACTGGGACCCGGAGTAAGGGTTGTCAGACCAGTAATACTTCCAGTCGAAGTGACTGTGACCGGTGACGAGGGAGTAACAAATGTCACTACTGTGTAAACCGAGTCACCGCCGTAGGGAAGAGTCGTCAAGCCGGTCGTGCTAGCTGTTGAAATGATGGTAGTCACACGTGGTGTCGGCACAAAAGTAATCACAGTTGGTGGTCCTCCAGGTCCTCCCGGAATCGTAGTCAATCCGGTGGTGCTGCCTGTGGATGTCACGGTAACGGGCGGCGGGCCAGTCGCAATGGTGACAATTGTAGTCGGGTCTCCGGGTCTGCCAGGAGTCTGAGTGAATAGACCAGTTGTGGATCCCGTCGATGTGACGGTCACATATGGAGGGCCGGTCACAAGGGTGATGACTGTAGTCGGGTCTCCGACTCTTCCAGGGGTCAAGGTTGTAAGACCGGTAGTTGACCCCGTTTGAGTGAGAGTAACCCGAGGAATGGGGGTTGGGACGAAAGTGATGACAGTAGTGGGATCCCCAGGTCTACCCGGAGTCTGGGTGGTGACGCCAGTGACTGAGCCACTGGTAGACGTAAGTGTAAGAATGCCTCCCGTGGGGCTCGGGATAATAGTCACGATGGTGGTTGGGTCACCAGGTCGGCCGGGAGTCTGAGTGACGACACCCGTACCCGTTCCGGTGGATGTTATGGTGACGAAACCTCCAGTAGGAGACGGAACAATAGTAATGACAGTAGTAGGATCTCCAGGGCGGCCAGGGGTTTGAGTGATCAAGCCCGTTCCTGTTCCCGTGGAGGTGATTGTAGTGAAGCCCCCAGTTGGGGAGGGCACAATAGTAATGACTGTAGTCGGGTCGCCAGGTCGTCCAGGAGTCTGAGTGATCAACCCAGTTCCTGTTCCGGTTGAGGTGATGGTCGTCACCCCGCCAGAAGGACTTGGCACCAGAGTGATGACTGTAGTTGGATCTCCAGGCCTACCGGGAGTCTGAGTAATCAGGCCAGTGCTACTTCCAGTAGATGTGATGGTGACGAAGCCACCTGTAGGAGTTGGGACAATAGTGATGACGGTAGTTGGGTCGCCTGGGCGGCTGGGAGTCTGGGTGATGAGGCCAGTTCCTGTTCCGGTTGAGGTGATTGTGACGAAGCCACCTGTAGGAGATGGAACGAACGTAACCACAGTCGTTGGATCTCCTGGGCGGCCGGGCGTGAGAGTTGTGACGCCAGTCCGAGTGCCTGTTGAGGTGACAGTAGTCAACCCTCCCGAAGGGGGCACAATGGTGACCACGGTAGTCGGATCGCCGGGTTGGCCTGGTGTCAGGGTCAACAAACCGGTTTGACCGGGCTGAGTGCCAGTGGAAGTAGTAGTGACGAAGCCACCAGGAGGAGGCACAATCGTGACAACTGTGGTAGGATCGCCGGGTCGACCTGGTGTCAGGGTCAATATGCCGGTTTGACCGGGCCGAGTACCAGTGGAAGTGGTAGTGACGAAGCCACCAGGAGGAGGCACAATCGTGACAACTGTGGTAGGGTCACCAGGCTTTCCAGGGGTGAGGGTGAGGAGGCCCGTTTGGCCTGGCTGAGTGCCAGTCGACGTAGAAGTAACAAAGCCACCGGGAGGAGGCACGATAGTAACAACTGTGGTAGGGTCACCAGGCTTTCCAGGAGTGAGGGTGAGGAGGCCAGTTTGACCGGGCTGGGTGCCAGTGGAAGTAGTAGTGACGAAGCCACCAGGAGGAGGCACAATCGTGACAACTGTGGTAGGGTCACCAGGCTTTCCAGGGGTGAGGGTGAGTAGGCCAGTCTGACCGGGCTGGGTACCAGTCGATGTAGAAGTGACTATACCTCCGGTGGGTGGTGGTACGATGGTGACGACTGTGGTAGGATCGCCAGGTTTTCCAGGGGTGAGGGTGAGTAGGCCAGTCTGACCGGGCTGGGTACCAGTCGATGTAGAAGTGACTATACCTCCGGTGGGTGGTGGTACGATGGTGACGACTGTGGTAGGATCGCCAGGTTTTCCAGGCGGCAGTGTCAACAGACCAGTCTGACCGGGCCGGGTGCCGGTTGAAGTGGAAGTGACCACTCCCCCAGTGGGAGGAGGCGGCACAATAGTAACAACGGTAGTAGGATCTCCAGGCTTTCCGGGAGGCAATGTCAGGAGGCCAGTCTGGCCAGGCTGCGTGCCGGTGGACGTTGACGTGACAACCCCGCCGGTCGGAGGGGGGACGATGGTAACAACCGTAGTTGGGTCCCCGGGCTTGCCGGGCGGCAGAGTCAGTAGACCTGTCTGACCAGGGCTGGTACCAGTCGAAGTGGAAGTGACCACGCCTCCTGTTGGGGGAGGGACAATCGTGACCACAGTGGTAGGGTCGCCAGGCTTTCCAGGAGGCAGAGTAATCAGCCCCGTCTGACCCGGGGTTGTACCGGTCGAGGTGGATGTCACGACGCCACCGCTAGCAGGAGGAACAACCGTGACAATCGTCGTCGGGTCTCCGGGCTTGCCAGGGGGTATGGTGATGAGTCCTGTCTGGCCAGGCCGAGAGCCGGTCGACGTGGCAGTCACCAGCCCCCCCGTCTGCGGTGGGACGTAGACGATTTGGGTGCCAGTGCCATCGGTCCCGGAGGGAGGCAACGTCAAAGTAGTCAACACCGTACCGGGAGCTGTGATGGTCGTGTAGGGTCCATTGAAAGGAGGACTTCCTGCATTCGGCGTAGGCGCAGGGGTCAGGACGAGGACAGTTCCGGTAGGGTCGCCGCCGCTGGGGGGGATGGTCAGGGTCGTCAAGGTTGAGCCCGGATAGGGGGCCGTGGCTGTTGTGAAGCTTCCACCGTTGGGAGAGGTTGATGGCAACCAGGGCTTGTTGGACTCGAGAGGAGAGCAGATGTACTTCGTGCCAGTGGCTTGGCCGCTTTGAGGAGGGATGACAATGGTGGTCGGCTGGGATCCTGCAGGAACATTTGCGGTAACCGTGACACAAGGGCCATTGTAGGGAGAGTTTGTGACCCTGGAGAAGAAACAAAGTTAGTACCATTCAGAAGAAGATTCAAGATGCTGCGCTGAAAGAGTCATTGATGGTGGACTATTATCAGAATGCTTACACAGCAGAGCTGTACGTCATCGTCATCGTGGTCAGGAAGTCGGTATTAACCACAGTTGGAGCATTGGTGACCTTGACGGTTGTGCCAGCTACAGTGAAAACGGTATTGGAAGAGAGAGAAGTGCTGAGATGAAGCGGGATGCAATGAACGATTTCTAAAGGCTGGACAGCGGTTGGAACAGCTGCTGGCCCAGTGGTGGGACAGTCCTCTCTTGCTAAACCAGGCCATGGTAGGATGGCCGCAGAGCTCATCAACGAGGTGAGAAGCGAAGTGCGCCTCATCTTGGCGATGATGCTTTTAAGTAAAGACTTTGGATGCTTGAACGATTGTGGACATGGAGATGTCAGAGGCAACTTGATAATAGAAAGCTGGCGAGCTGGTGTTGAGTGTTGTCGTGAGGTGAGTCTTTGGGAATTTGGACGATGGCTTATATTTCAAAAGTTTGGAGCTGTCAGTTTCTTGACGTTACACGCTTGGGTATGATCACGATGATCTAAGTCAAAGGCCACTCTTCGACTCTGTACCTACGTGGCGCGTTCCGGAGTCGGTTGGCTCCCGTCACATCACTAACTTGATTTCCACCGCCAATCCTGAACCAGCGTGTTTTTTTAACGCGCAATGCGAAAATCTCAAAGTCTCCGCAAATACGCCGCAACAAAAACTGTTCTGACATTCACGGATTTTCTTTTGGTCTGCTTACTACCGTTGCCTCGCCTCCCGCCAAGAAATTTTCGTATCGTTTTCATCTAGAGCTTACGATACATGATTATTTACCGTCAATGAAACCGGTGGGACTTATTCTCTTGCGTTCTTGAGAGGTTCATCTCAGCGGTATGCTACCAGATCACGGCAAGTCAATGCCGAGCTGTTTGAAGGTGAAGGACGATGGCCGAAAAGGACAAGTTGTGAGGCATCTGCCAGATGCAGTTCACTCAGCGAGCAGGCATCAACAACGTAGTATAGTCGAGGAACCTGTGTATATTCCTCCTCAAATTGTAGAGCTTTCTGCGAGCCAAGCACGAAGCAAGTACATCCCTATCCTGCTCTCTATACTTGAATGTCGTGAAGCATCACTAATGCAAGACTTCTGTTTGCGTGCCTGTCCAGCTGGCATTGAGGTTGTCGCCATTACCAACCTCCAGAAGCAGTAAAGCTAAACTGACTTGGCAGCTGCTTGAGGCCACCCGGTATGCACGTTCTATCAATAGTCTGGTCCCAAGGCAGTAATTAAAGCCAACATGAGTTTTCCTCTTGGGGCTATAACCCGTTTTGCCAGCCAATAAGAGGGCTTTATACGCCTGCTTCGGCTAGGTACTTTCCCACAGACGCGAGCGGGCCGCGCTGTTTCTAGAACTAGCTCCGAGTAATTACCTACATACGGTCGTGATTACCTAAGGTCGCAATTGCCCAAGGTCGTAACTATAACTTACGTCCGGTCTTAATTGCCTAGTTATTGTGATTCCGGAATACATACTTAATTACGATCATAAGTAATTGCGACCGTAGTGTACGTAAGTAGCTATGTATGGCAGGTGCAGCGCGGTCGCTAGATTTCAAGTTTCACTGGAAGGCTCTTCTCATTGGCTGGAAAAATGGGTTACTGCCCCAATAGCAGAACTCGCCAACAATATCTCAGGTAACGACACATCCGATTGCTCCGCCGCAGAGTGTTCTGCAAACGTCGTTGCTCTCTCAATATAGCTATTCTGTTTAAGTCCTCAAAAGACCGAAACTTTAACGGAGGGAGGGGGGGGGGGGGGGGGCAGGGCTGCTGCTTCCCGAAGACAGGGCTATCGATTCCCAAAGGCAGCGAGCACACTAGTACGGAAGCCGAAGACCTTCCTAAACGGACCCGTTTCTTCATCTGCACGCTACCTGCATGTGGGTTAGCATGACGCTAGTAAGATCTGGGACAGCGTAAGCTGCGCCGATCAGGAACTAGGGGCCGTTCTCTTCTGATTTCATTCCAAACTTGATATTGGCGAGTTGCCTCTGTAAGATTGTTGATGGATTTAAGATGGTGATGGTTGATGAGACTGGAAGTTGTTGCATTTGGTCTTTAAGACTTCCGTTCCCTTGAGCAACATTCGGCATTGAAATCCTCTCCTACCGTTCTTTTGGCACTTATCTCGTTGCACCTCCAACTTTACCTCCCCCACAATGAGGTCCTTCCATTTTTTGCCGCTTCTTCCTTTTGCACTTGCTGCGCCCCCTCTCGTCGATCCATATCTTGAGATGTGCGGCATATCCATCACATACTCCGCCATAACGAGCACTCTTCTACTACCACCGCAAACAATCTCTCTCTGCGAGAATTCGAGCAATTGCGCCATCCCTACCATTGGTGCTGGAGGAGGCTCCCCCGCAGCTCCGCAGGCCACCGCCACCCAAGTCCCTGGGGGCAATCCTCCTGCCGGGCAGCCTGGTTCTAGTCAAGCTCCCGGAGGCAATCCCCCTGCCGGGCAGCCTGGTGCTAGCCAAGCTCCCGGCGGTAACCCTCCCGCCGGACAGCCTGCTGCCAGTCAAGCACCCGGAGGCAGTCCACCCGCTGGACAACCCGCTGCCAGCCAAGCTCCCGGCGGTAACCCTCCCGCTGGGCAGCCCGCTGCCAGTCAAGCACCCGGGGGTAATCCCCCTGCCGGACAACCAGCTGCCTCTGGTGGTTCGAATGGCAATTCGCCAGGCGCAACAGTCTCTTCCCCGGCGGGCTCTGGTAAACCCTCCTCGGTATCGGCATCTTCCGCATCTCGGTCATTTGGTTTCAAATGGAATGAGCTTTGTGTCATGGGATTCGCCGGCGCGGTCACTCTTTTTCTGAGCCTGGTAGTCTAATGTCTGCCCAATCTTGGGCCGAGAAGTGGTCAACTTTGCAGAAGTAGGCTGTGGCGGCGGAGTACTTCATTAAATTGGAACATTGTCGGGTATCCTTTTGTCACTCGGAAGAGCTCGTTAAAATTTACTCCGCCGGCTTCCTTGTCTTTCTTTTCCTTTTCTTGATTAATTTTACGCATAATTCTTCGGCGGTTGTCCATGGACGAGCCGCCTAGCTCCGCCTATTTGTCCTGAGTTTGGAACAGCTATCATAAGTGGGTGGGAGGGTACTCTAGACGGAAATGGGTTCCTTTTTTTTTTTTCTCTCTTTCTCAAGTAACAATCAATCACGTAGGTTGCAATTATCAACCGTCCGTTGCGTTCCACAATTGTTCTTCCGGGTGATTTTTCGTGATGCGATGTCAATCCTCGGGCTCAATTGGTCATATGGCGACCTGGAGTTGAGACTCTGTCAACGAAGGAGAATCCCCCTGGATTGACCCCTGTCCGGAAGAAGGAATGGCGCACCTGCGTATCTTTCCGACCCCTGCGCTGATCGTCCGGGTCTAAGCACCGTGGATGGCCACAACGACGACGACGGGCCGCGGCATTCAGCCCACGCTGCCGGGGCTTGGAATCTGCAGCAATTTCCAGGCGCAAAGATGGGTGTGGAGGTAAGAAGAAGATCATGGATGCGTTGGAGAAGCGTTCAGATCTCGCAGTGCAGCGCCGTCCATCTTGGAGGCGCTCGAGCTTGCAAGATTTGCAGCCAAAACAAGGCCACTTGCAGTGACGATTACCGTTGCGATTTCATCAAAGGACGAGACAGTCAGGAAGCAAACGGCAATTCAATTCACCAGACCAAAATCCAAAAATAATGGACTGAGTTATCTTCTCCCGAGTCAGTAGTGCATACCTGAGGGCGTGCAAGCCCAGATCAATGTCTCGTGTAGTTGCGCTAAGTTGAAGTCGCTGAATTAATGATGCTGTAGAAAATGGAATCAATCTCGAGGTGAGCTCTCCAAAGGGTGTTTCTCTGCCCTAGTTATTAAGTGCGGGATGCTGCTCGTCAAAGCCAGTGCTGGCCGACTGTAGCCAACATAGCAAGCCAGGCCGAGTTTTTTCAACTTGAACCACATCGATTAATTATCGAAGTATATTATAGAACATAGTTCTTTATTTAAAATGAAACGAGATGTAGAGCTCGCTTTGAAACTAAAACTATAAGCGAGGACAGATCTCGATGATGATATAATCAAGGTTATATAACGTGTGGTGAGGTCACGTATAGTTGAAGCTATCAAGCCAATATCATTATAGACTCTTCACCTCAGCAGGCAGTTAAAAGTGTGAGTAGTTACTGCTTTTTGTAACACAAAGCAATGTACGTTTTTGTATTACGGAAAGAGGAGGATGGGCATCAACTCCTCAGTCTGAGGGGAAATCAAGCCATGATGCTACCTCTCGTCATATTACCAGGATACCAGTCAACCACCGGGCAACATACGTCTTTCAGTTTTCTTGCTAGAGACATTCCTGAACCCCTTCAAATTGACTGGATTTCTTACTTCACCGCACTCCGTAACCCTAAAATCATGTCGGAGCGTCAGGGTTTGTTTTACCAATCACCCTCGGGATTTGGATTCCGTGTAGACCTCCTTCGCTCGTCGCCTTAGTCAGCCCATGCACCACACACAGCTTCATCACCACGAGCAACATCAATCCCCAAGCACGAGGACTTGGTGGGAGAAAGAAGAAAAATCTATACAACAGGTCCTTTTTCTCACTTTCGGCTGGCATCACGAAAACCCCAGAAAGGAACAAAAGTCCCAAAATCAAACACGAAAAGACAAAGAAACCCCCCCCCCCCTCGCCTAACGAAGAAAATGGCACACGCACTCATCCTTGGCGCCTCGGGCATCTCAGGCTGGTCCCTCTTCAACCAGGCCCGGACCTACCCCACGCCCACGACCTTCGCCCGCATCACCGGCACCACGAACCGCCCTCTGACCCTCGAACAGGCGCGGCTGCCTGCAGATGACCCGCGCCTGGCCCTCGTGTCCGGTATCGACTTCACGAAGAGCGTGGACGAGGTAGCGGCGGCGCTGAGGGACAAGGTTCCCGACGTGGAGACTGTTTCTCACGTCTTTTACACGGGTACGTACTCAAGCAGAGAAAGTTGCATGCCATGCATGCGTTCAAGAAAGGGGAGTGTGTGTGTGTGTGTGTGTGTGTGTATGTGTGTGTTTGGGAAATGTGGATTTTGCTAACAACGTCGGGGAGGTCAATGTAGCCTACATCGACGTAGACGTCTCCAAGGGACAAGCGGCGGCGGCAGCAGCCAACACGGAATTACTCGCCGTGGCGGTCAAAGCAGTCGAAAAGGTGTCGCCGCGCCTCGCCTTCGTCGTCCTGCAGACGGGCGGAAAGGGGTACGGCCTCATGTACCCTGACAAGGTGACGCTACGCACCCCGCTCCGCGAAGACGCGCCGCGGATCCCGCGGCCGTGGGCCGACGAGGTGTTTTACTACGCGCAGCACGACCTGCTGCGCGACCTGTCGCGGGGGAAAAACTGGACGTTTTCCGAGATCCGGCCGGACGTGATTGTGGGGTTCGCGCCGACGTCGAACGCGATGAATATGGCGAGGGGCATTGGGATCTATCTGTCTGTTTGGCGGCGGGTTTTTGGTACTACTACTACGGGAGCCGGGGGCCTCGGGTCCGGAAACCGAGTGGAGGTGGAGGTGCCGTTCCCGGGGTCGCTGCGGAGTTACCGCGCCACGCATACGGATACCAACCAGGACGTGCTTTCCAAGATGGAAATTTTCGCGGCGGTGGTGAATCCGGAAGGGTGCGGCGGGGGAAGAGCCTTCAACGTCGCGGACGGCGGGGCGGTGATTTCGTGGTCGGTGGTGTGGCCTCGGTTGTGCGAGCGCTTTGGTCTCATCGGGGTGGCGCCGCCGCCGCCGCCTCCGTCCTCCGAAGCGGCGATCGACGCCGAGGCAGGGACGGGCACCGCGTCCGGATCTACTGCCCCGCCGCCGTCGATGAAGGACTTTATCGCGGAACACGACGACGCGTGGGTCGCGCTGGCGCGGGAGCACGGGCTGGATGAGGGCGCTGCTAGAGAGTACAATTGGGATTTCCTGCATGTGATGCTGGTGGAGTGCGACTTTGACCGCGAGTACGATCTCACGCGGGTGCGCGAGGTCGGGTTCGAGGAGGGGGTCGATACGGTGGAGGGGTATTTTGTTGCCTGGGAGCGGATGAGGAGTGCGAAGCAGTTGCCGACAGTCTAAAGAGTAGGTAGGTATGCTGCATGAAGAGGTGGACGTGGAGTGCGTGGTCGTGTTGAGTCGACGGGCTGCTTGGAGGGAGACAGGGGGGGTTTGATGGGAGATACCGGATTACAAGCGGCACCACCAAGTATCTTGAATAGGTACATTGGTAGAAAATAGTTGAAACTTGTCATGTTCTTATATACGAGAATATGCAAAAGAAAACGAACTTCAGCACAAGAAGATAGTAATCCAATGGCGCGACGTGTCATTCTACGCATTGTGTTTGTGGCCTCTTTGGGGCGGTGCGGTGGTGATAGCGAACCCGACGCACAATGACCTGACCGGACTCGGCTTCTCCAAGGTACTACGCCGGACCCTAGGGGAGGCTCAGTGCAGCGACCGACGGCCGTCCGACTTTATTTCAACGTTCTTGAAGGTCACCCAGACAACCTGAACAGAGAGCCATCTGTAGCGTTCAAGCATTGTATGAACAGGACGCTACAGGACGAGAACAAGACATTGTGTATGTTGAGATCCAGTATTGAGCTAGATAACCTACCGAGTAAGGTCCCTTAGATGCTGTAATACTTGTTGATATGACTCAAAAGAAGGACACTCTCTATGACCCGAGAAGAAAAGCTCTCACATCCGGGATAAGACAGACTCAAACTCAGACCCAAATACTGCCAGCTCTCTCAACATTGAAAATTCAATACGTAAGGAAAAGATGATATCAATCAATTACTTCAGGAGTCTGTGGAAGTTGCTTGTCCTAGTAGAGTGCATTCCTTTCCACCTCTTTGCCATAAGACTGACGCGTGCAATCTGGATCTTTGTAGCAAACTAGCTAATGCCTAAAGGCTGTGCCTCTACCCCTTCCACGAGGTCTGCCTCGTTTCGCCGGTATCGCGCTGCCGACACCCCCCCTCGGACCGAGCGGTGGGCCTCGGGCCGTTGACGGCATGAGACTGGCCCAGGCGGCAGCCATGGCGGTTCGCTGCGAGGATCCTTCACCAGAGGCCGCCGAAGAGGCCGACGACTGGACTTGGATGGGCGTTGTTACGTCTTCCGTTGAGTCCATACTAAGCGCCGGGGTGGCTTGTGACTCTTCGACCTGGATGGGAGTAGTAGGGCCTCCCATTTTGTTCATATCAAGCATCGTAGCCGAACCCACACTCGACTTGGGGACAAATTCAGGCGGCCATCTCTTCTTTAGACGAAGCTGAGTCTGATCAGAAGTCTTGCCCGCATGTCCTTCCTCACGATATGCCCTTTTAGGCGGCTGCTTCGGCTGACTGGGGGACCCCGTGGAACAATCGCTATCGGAAGTGTCGATATCATCGAGATCAAGTGGTGGCAACCGAGTGGATTTACCAGGTTTCCAAATATCATTGACAAACGTGCCTTTGCCCCAGTTTGGCTTCCTCTTGTACTCTTCACGCGCCGCCATCATTGCCATTGTTTCGGGATTTTTGCACTGCGAACCCCAGGGACAATGGTCAATGTTGAGAGTTGGGTCTTGTGAATTTCCTCGGCGTTTCATGCAATTTGGGCACTTGTAACCCAAGCCCGTGGCAGTGCATTCCAGCCACGGGTGGCTTCCCAAACAAATGCAGCAAATCGCGGAATTCGGGCACTGGCTCGCGAAGTGGCCGGGTTCGCAGCAGTTGTGACAGATGTCCAGCAGGCTCCGAGGATCGACAGGTCTATTGACGGATCAGCTTTTAGTCCCAGTGAATTGGTGAATTGAACAATAGTGTTCTCGCTTACTTATTATAGGTTTCAAAACCCCAATCTCCAATGGTCATCGGGAACGCCCAATCACAAAGATGTCTTGCATCCGAAAGCCTGTCCACAACGACGTAGAGGTCCAAAAGGCTGTGAAAGACTTTGGAAATCACCACGTCGGTTAAAAGGCTCCATTCGTAAGCAAGGTCGTCGTTGTTTCTTATCCATTCCTTAGTCCAATTGACATCTCCCACATGAATGTAGTACAGTTTGGGGACCATACTGATAGGAACACCTTCTAACCGGAGCAGTCTTGGCAAAGTAGAAAACTCGTCTTCCGCTCGCTTCAAGGAGGCCTCATTCCGGAAAAATAATTCCATGATATTGCCTCTGAAGGTCACGTCCCTGACCTCGCTGAATGGCCATTTGCCGCTGCTCCCCAACCGATTGCGGGCTCCGAAGTCGGTTAATCTGCGTAGCTTCTGAAAGCCGAGTTGGCCTGGAACCTTGACGGTCATTGTGAAGTTCACTACGGCGGGTTTCTTCGACGCGGACTTCTTTGATGAGGGCATCAACGAAGTCGAAGTCCCGGGCGAGGGGGACTGGCGAGAGGGGCCATTGTCCTCAGGGGGCTGGAGTGACTCTGTTTGGCGCGATGGCTCCGAGTGAAGAGGCGGTCCAGTGCCCTGAACTCTGGCAAGGACTGCGTTCAAGATTGCAGGCATGCTATCTGAAATAGCCTCTCTCACAAGGCGGCATATCTCCTCGGAGTTGACATGATACGTGGGGCTACCGGACATGATGTTGGTCAACCTTGTGTAAGGGAAAGAGATATGTAAGTGCTGGAAAACGAATTAGATATGTGTTCTGAAGAATCTTGAACGACGAGAGAGGTATGGATATATATATATATATAGAGAAAGAGCCCTTCGGGGTCCAGCCCGCCTCATTGGGGGCCATCTTCGCCTTCACGGGCAAGCTGGTCTACCAGGGTCAATATCGAGTTTCTATTGCGTACTTTAATAAGACTTTATAACTAACTATAGCCGGCTGTAGCCGTTCCTAACTATCTAACTAAACTTAAGATGCTAATAACCCCGCTATAATATATTAATCGCCCTCCGAATAGCTAAAAACTACCCCTTACTTTTTACCTTTTTTAATAGCTTTAGATTTTTCTTTTTAAGTTTTCTAAATTTCTTATTTTATTAAAATAATATTAGAATATTAATAATATTTTTAAATTTATTAAGTACATCGAGGTTTTATTATATAAATTCAGTATTAATAATAATAATATTTATAAAAGTATGTACGTTTTTTTAAATTTTTAGATAGATAATAATTAACTATTGTTTTAAATAATCTTATTATAAATTAGGATTATTAAGTATAATATTAATAAAATCGAACTACTAGCTCTTAAAATATCCCTATTAATTAGCGAGTTAGCGTCTTAGTATTTTAAATATTCTTAAGATAAATAGTTTAATAATAATAATAATAATAAAAGTAATAATAATAATATAATAATAGGAAATAGTAAGGGAAGCGGTTTTTAATTTTAATAAAAAAACGAGGTAATATATATATATATATATATATATATATATATATATAAGTGAGTTAAAATATAATAAATATTATATTTATAGAGGTTAGTATTATTTCTAATAATAATAACGAGGGTATTTTAATATTATAATATTATAAGCTATTATTACTTAAAAAAATAACGAACTTAGCTAAATACGTAGGCTTATAAAATAGTAACGTTAGGCGCTTAATATTATTATTAATAATCCGTAATTATAAACTTTATAAGAGGGAAAGTTAAAAAAGTAAAAAATCTAAAAAATAATCTGTTAAAATAGTACGAGTATTTACTAATACTATGTATTAATACTATATAATCGATATTGAGAACTGCCCGAGTAGCTAGCAAAGGCAGAACATAAAAACAAATAGAGAGAAAGAGGGATAAAACAGACCCGCAATTGCTTTGCAATGATTCCATGGGTTTGCAACTTGCAAGTCTTCAACACAAAGTAGCGGGGAGGGGGGGGCGATCCAATGGTTGAGCTAGTGAAGACTGTGGATTTCTTCGGGTGTCACTGACCTTCAACAATCACCTGGAATGGGGATAGGGACTGTGGAAATTGAACGAGGTTCGGAGGACAAGACCCAGCGGGTCAGAAACTGCCTTCCCAGGTCCAGATGACACCGTATCACGATCCCGGTCCCCTTGCCATTGGATGAATGCCGAAATTACAAGTACGAAATCATACGTTGAATCCAAACATACTAAATTGTGTAGTGTCCACTATCATCCACTCAGAATGAGGTACAGGAAGAAGGATACAATTGACAAATGAAAACCCAAAGACGAAGAGAGTGAGAGAGAAGAGCGGCAAGTACTTTCTCAGTCGCTTGGCGGAAACTTGTCCTCTACCGACGCAAACCTTGCCGGCAACCCCGCAGGGAAAGTCAGACCAAATATCTGCGGCTGCTTCCCGGGCGCATCTCCGGAATCGGTCAGACACGACTGCGGCTTCTTCACAGGCTCCAACTGCATCGGTTCTGGCTGCCGCAGAGACACTGGAACGTTTCGAGCGCTTTTAGTTGCACCGCCCATGGCGTCGAAGACGGCGGTAGGCTTAGGCGCGGAGTTTTTGACCCCTGATGGCCTACCACGACCTCTCTTCACCGGCTCGTCCATCTCGTGTCCCGCTCTGCTCACACTTGCCTGCACTAACTGCTTAGATGAAGTTGCAACGCCACTAAAACTAGACTTCATTCTTTCGAAGGCATTGGGAACTTTAATCTCAGGTCCCAGAGGGGAACGGCCTGAGGAGGCTCTAGGCGTCTGCATGGCTTCGTTGCCCCTCGCCTCAACTTCGGTCCCATCCTTAACCACCGGCACATCTATGACTTGCTGACCATCGCCACGATTCAAACCGCCGACAGACGACAGCGCTGATGATGCCCCAGTCGGATGAGGCTCGCCTTGACTGCTCAACTCCATGTTATCGTCATCAACGCATTGCGTCGAAACTTTCTCCCCAGCAGCCCTTCTTGACTGAATTTTCCTATTCCTTCGTGTTTTCGGGGGAGCTGTGGTCTGGCAGGTCTCACACGTAGTCTGACGTTGAGCCGAGGGTGAGGCCCAAGGAACTTTGACACTTGCGAGTTGCTTGCAATTGTCAAACATTCGCTGCGTTGCGACAGATTGGCACTCCGGGGACCAGGCGGCATGGCCTTGATCCTTAAGATCCCTGACGCCCTCATTCTTGCAGTTGGGACACCTTTGCTTGATAGTTTTGCACGAGAATGTGCTATGTTCTTCAGCACATTTTCCGCATCGCTGAGAATTGGTGCACTGATCTTTAAAGTGACCAGGTTCGTAACAATGTACGCAGAAAAGTGGCACCGAGCGGATGTCAACAGCTCTGGATAGAACGAGCAGTTAGTGGTATGTCTCTCCCTCACGAAACCCAGCCAACATCTTGGAGATGACTTACTCAGCCGTAACCTTTGATCCACTCAAGTAAACCCACTCATTGCACAGACGGAGAGCACCCTTCTCATCAGTCAGAGTCAACACAGTCCTTCCAAAAGTCCTCGCGCTGTGGACAATCTTGACCGAGTTTTCTTTCCCCCAAGCTTCATTCCGATTATGATTTTGCTCGAATTCGGCTCTCGACAGTCTTAGTCCGTGAACTTCGACGTAGTAGTTTTCAGGGACTTGTTCGAGTTCGCCAAGTTTGAGTTCTTGGCAGACAATGTTTGAACGGCTGTAAATATCCTGCACAGCTTTGTCGTCCTTGCAGAAGATTTTGAGCACGTTTCGATCGATGCGAGCACCCAAAACTGCATCCCAGCACGACTGTTCATGACCATGGACCCCGTCATCCGGAGCGTTGTTAATGGTCCCTCTGATCTGTTGCTGTGCGCTCCCTTTCGACTTGCGTTCGCGTGTTTGTATTCTAGACACAATCTCCATGATTTGGCTTGGCTGCAGGGCGGTTGCTGCCTCGAGGTACTCCGGATGTCCCTTCATCTTGAGCCTGACCGTGGGCGGCTCGCGCATGGCACGCGTTTCGATAGGCTTCAACTCTTTTCGAATAGTCTTCAGGATCTCTTCCATCCCCTGGGGGCCATGTTGGGAAGGTCCTTGGAGCTGGAGGAGTTCTCTGAGAAGTGGTATCGATGAGAGTTGGCTCTGGTAGAGATCCACCAGACTCTGCACGACGCTCATCGTGACTTCCTCCGTCTCAAGCAACGTTTGTAGCTCTTTTATCATGTGATTGAGATTCTCGGTCCGGGGTGGCTTCGTGGGCAGAGGGGTCTGGCATCGATACGAGGGCGCGAGGGCGGGTTGTGGCGGTCGAAAGGAAGTGGTCGAAGCTATCGAGATTGAAAAACGAAGAGGTCAGTCCCGTGCGAAGAAGAAGAAGAAGAAGACGAAGAAACCGTGCAAACGTTGGCACGGCATTCTGTCACTTGCTAGAGATCAAAGAACTCACCTGCCGGGGAAGGGGTGTATAGTCGCTGTCTCTGAGAAAGGGGCTGGCCACGATCCGAGGCGGAGTCCGGCCTTGAACGCTTGTTTCTGCCCTCGAAAAGCTTTTGAACTAATCCGGCCATCTTCTATAGTTTGGTATCTCCCGCCAGAGATGTGTGTAGAATATCTCTGACAAATGCTCTTTTCAACGATTGAAGTGACGCAAAAGTTTTGAACGAAGTGGAAGAGGGGAAGGGGGAAAGTGGACGAAGCCCAGAAATCCTCCAAAGGGGGTATGTGAGTGAAAGTCCATTCCTACCGACTACTCAGACTCCAACAGCGTGGTATGTTGACCATAGAGGGCCGAAAAGACGATAGTGATATTTTCCCTGTCACCTTGCCTCTCTGCCAACCAATGGCGATGTCGTGATGATGACAGATTGTGCGAGAATTTGCCAGTTGTATCCGATGCGGTAAAGCTTGACTGGGCAATCTCAGCCCCCATCCTTGCAATTTGCAAGAGGAGAGAAAAGTAGCAAGAGGGTCCGCACCGAAGACGGAGGAGGCGTTCGGTTTTCCGGAAAGTCTGACCTTGCGAAGATTAATTATGGTGTCGTTGCTGCATACTTCGGAAATGAGAGATAGAGAGAGAGAGAGAGAGAGAGAGAGAGTCACGGGTACTCTGGGAGAAAGTACCGCAAGTACATACAATGTCTGTGGAGGTTTGGAAAGAAAGAGGGGTGATGAGCCAGAACCCGTGACTGAAAGAGGTAGCTTTTCTTGCATAATGTAACTGTGCAATGTCAGCCGTCCCCGAGGATCGTCGTCGTTGTCGGGGTCACGGCGAATGAGTGAAAACTTTTCCTCTCTTTGAAATGAGGTGCGTACTCCTGTGGTATTCCGTATGTGGCTCAGCAATTACGGCTGGCAGCGGGCGAGCTGAAAGTTTGAGGGGACTCTGGCTCCACGGCTCGGGCAACCTGGCCCTCTTGTGGGCACTGATAAGGAATCCATGGAGTTTGGAATTATGGTCTAGACCCGAGGACCAAAAAGACCTGGTGAAACTGCGATGCTGTGACTGGGGAGACTTGTCACCTGACGACCTACCTCTGCGAGTCTCCATGCATTCAACGGCCTGTCCCTGTACGGATAAAGGTAAAGATCCCGGACGCAGAGGGTGCGGAGTATGGTCTACCTGAGGTATGCATGAGAGGGATCCAGGGGAGGCTATCTAAACTCAAACACCTCGGTTGCTAGACTGTTGGTGTGCCAATTGTGTGGTGCTCGAGCAGATTA